TTGTTACTACTAGTAAGGCACCTGTTACTACTAGCGTGGCACTTGTTCCTAGTAGAAACCAATGGGCAAGATTCGTGGACCTGCACCTAAGGACAATCCACCGGAGATTGCGGCATGCGCGGCCTTCGGGGGCTGCTGGCAGTGTTTTTTTGCTTTGAGCCCTTCCTCTGTCTCTCCCATTGCTGTTAGGTTGGAGGCCATTGCTGTTAGGTTTCTTTCTTTTCTCTCCTTTTTATCTTTTTTCTTGACGTGCTTCCTCTCTCTCTCTCTCTCTCTGCGCTTGGCACGACTCGCAGGTGGCCCGATCAATGTCTGGGACATTGATAAACCATATGGAAGTCCTATGTCAATGATGGCCAACGCATGTTCCAGCTTCTTGACTCAAGAACTGCTAGAACTGAGAAGGAATGCTTGAGTGGTTCAAAGACAGCAATGCGAAGATGACATCTATGGATATGAGCGACGGACATGCCCACCTCTCCCGTACATTTGCATGAAGGAATCAGCTCCTCCTTTACAGCTGCTGTTTCACCATCTGCTGGGAGAACCAAAGCTTGAACACAGATCAACCAGGCAATCCAGACTTTCAACAGCGTTGCGTTGAGTGTTTAGTTTCGACATGTGACAAGCCTTGGCCCACGCACACACTCACCCGCGCACACACAGACAAACACACATGGGTGATACATCTATACCTTCAAGTATCTTTAAGAACCTCTTTGCAATAGCGAAGGCCTCCAACCTAAGAGCGATGGCCTCCAACCTAAACAAAGACAATGCCAAAGAATGCCGCCGGCCTTTTGCTCCAAGTCCAGATCTGGCTCTGCATGCAAGGCTAAGAGCGCAGCAGCGCGCGTCAAATCGATCTCCTGCGCTACCGGGTGCGCAAGAAACCGAAACCTGTGAACCCCCAGGACAACTGGCAAATGATGTCTCTACTAGCGACGACCTCCAACCTAAGAGCGTAGATTGGAGGACAACTGATAAATTAACTTTTCACCCTCATATGAGTAGTGATAAACCTTGTAGACAACCGCGGTTATTTTTTTTTGCGCATTCCGCTGCCCAAGTAGATCACAAAAAACGAGTGCAGGCCGGTTGCAGCTACAAACTCCGACTCCCAGTGTTGAATGGATGTTGAATGTATACGTCCCGGTGTCAACCCCATGGTAGCTCGAGTCATCGAAAACAGGCGCGGCCCCGAAACAAAGGGACCAGGAGAACCGCCGTTCGAGGCCTACGAATCTTCAACTGCCGCAGTGCTTCAACAGGAAACTGGAAGAATTGGATGGCGTTTTTAGCTGACGTGACATGCCCGACACCAAGAAATTCCCCCCAAAATCGGACTGGCGATGCCTCGACCTCAAAAGAACGCCATCGGAAAAGTAAAGGAACATAAAACGAACGAGTTTTGGAGTCCTTTGAATAAGGTCTCTTTGAATAAGCGAACTCAAAAAAACATCAAAAACACCCTCTTTGTTTCTTCTGGGCTTTGTCTCTAGCACCTGCCCAATGTCCTCTTGGGGTTTGGAGACTTCTGCCTCGCGCCAGCCACGAATTTCACGAGAACACGACCCGAAGAGTCTTCCAGCTGTGAATCCCAACGGCGAACACAAACGGCACCAAACGATTCGGTAGGTAACGCACATCAGGTTTCCATCGGTTTGGCGTCGCCAAGGTGGACAGCGACGGACACTTCGATCGCGTGACAATGAGACTGGCGCAAGCACTTCGTGGTCTTTACTTGCGAAGAGCCCCCAACAGGTACACACTTAGATCCATGCTCGCAAGAGCTCTATCAGTTTGGCAACTCCCGTGAGGTTAGCACTTTACGTTACTGAAGCTAGATCTTGACTTGCAGAAAGAAATGGTGATCAGTCAGCGGAAAAGAATGTTTGAACACTGAAACTCGGCATGTGCGTCCACATTCCCTTCCGGCTGAATCACATGGCTTCGTTGGCATGGCTAGGGAAACAGCTGCCATGCCCCCTGCATGACTAAACACGGGTTGAAACATCAAAGGTAACTCCTAAACTGTAGCTGTGACAGAGCTCCTTGGGGACAGGAGTTGACACACACACACACACACAAACACACTCGAGAACACACACACACACACACACACGTTCGCTTTGCTCGTTGCGCTTTCCGCACTTTTTTTGCAGTCTTGTGCAGCGCCGTGTCCTGAGAATCATTAAGCCGGTTTGTACAATCTTGGCGCAGAAAAGCGACGAAATACAAGGGCCGACCTGCGCAATGCCAAAGAGTTGCCCATTGCCCGTGGCGAAAAGTTCGGCTGGAAGAGGCGGTTCCGGGAAATTCCCACAGCATCCTTCGGTGCCTTCCTCGTGTTCGAGCTCCCGACGTGATCGCCAGTGTCTTGCATCGACCCTGAACATGAACAGAATGCCACTACCAGATAGGGTCAAACCAAAGTAGGGTGCTTTTGGAGCTCCAGGCTTTGACCCACAAACAGATACAGGTTATTTGTTTGGTTTCATCCCGCTCGCCCAAACACAGGAGTTGCGATCCGATTCGCTGTGACTGGATGCTCCGTGTCCTGTACATGCTCCGTGCTCTCGAGGCCAGCCTTGATTCGATTCTGAACTCAACACCACGCAGCTCAGGTTTGGAAGTATCCGAAAAGCAAAATATGTGGACCAAAAGCTTCAAGTCGGAACGAATTGAAAAAGAACCAAAAGCTGAATCCGACGGGTTTTGAAAAGGAAAGGGCGACCGTCTTTGGGAGGCACCCTGGATGAAGAAACCGGACAGCACCTTCCTTGACCTGTGCCGCGTGGAACTAGGCATATTTGGCCGAAAAGAACCCTGTTTGTTACAAAGGGGCTTTTTTCGGCTTCCACTCCAAAAGCACAAAGGGCTTCGGATTGAAGCTTCGTACTACCTGCACCAAAAGGACCAAATAGGCCCGAATTCAGCCAATTGTTTAAGTTGGAGCCACGTCAAAACCACAGCGATTGATCGGGTGCCCCTCTGCCCACCCAAAAATATAACATGCTGAGCTCTCTGTCCAGGCAGGAAACAGACCTTTCGGATAGACCAATTTTCTGCAGGAAATGCGCATCGGACACAAACGCCCAAAATGGACTTGTGCAATGTGGCAGACGAACATCCAAACAGCTCACCCCCCTAAAGACCCAGCATTTTGGTACTCGTGAGCACCTACACCCAATAACTAGTCAGGGCTCAGGGCGGTGCTCTTGATTGGCTAGGCGGCTAGACCTAGATCTGATTTTCGCTGCCCATATTCTTGATCATTCTTTACCGGGCCTGTCGATTCGATAGCTCTGATTCTGTCGATGCTCAAAGCGTCAGAAGGAGCCTGGGAAAATTCTTCTCACACTATTAAGCACGGCGCAGTCAGAAGGCCTAGAGTGGTTTGACATCTCAATCTTAGCTTTCTCTGCCTACTTGTCTTCTTTGAGATTCTGAACTGTATTCTCCCCTTCTGAATACACCACACCCCTTCTTTGGGGAAGGGTCTGCAACAGAATCGATGACTGAAGAAAAAAACAGGTCTTGGAAAGACTACTATTATAAATATACGCAAGAGTCTTGACGTGAGTTGAACCAAGCACGCAGCTCAATTTCCTGCACTGCAGCTATGTACATTGGAGCATTAGCTGCAGGTGCCTACACAACTTTGCCTGTTACAAGGCACTACCAAGGCTACTTATATTGCCTTGAGATAGCCGGATCAACAAATGCGGTTGTTGAGCCCAAGGGCTATCAAGGCTGAGCTGAGAATCATGATGCTCTTGATCAGCTCTTGCTTCCAGCCAGTGAAACACACCCTGCTGTTGTGACTCAACCAACTGGAAGGTTAAGCGAGGGCAAGTGACATCTAAGGCATCGGCATAGATGCACACAATTACACGGCGGGCTCATACAGAGATGCTGACTTCGTCATCATCTTCATGTCCATCTTCAGCTCCTTCCTCAAATCCTTCTGCCACTCGATACTCGTGAACCTTCTGTGTGAAGCGATGTGGAGCTCGATGGACTCCTTCTAAGAAGCGGTCCAAGATCATAAGATGTTTCTCGTGGGACTCGCGTGTGGGTGGCAAATTCACATCCAAGGACGCCAGAGTGGGTGAGCTAAAGGAGCTTATGGTCCAAGAGTTCCAAGGCAGCGAATGCCCACTCACCTCTGTGTCGAGATCCATACTAGCCTTCGTGTACTTGACGGAAGCACAGCCCATGGCGACCAACGACCAGCTTTTCTCGGCCTCGATTCAAGCGACTCTCCACTTAGGGACTTTGAACCCGCCTGCGACACCGTGATGTAACATGTAAGCGATCAACAGAATCAGCTGTACCCCAATTCCAGAATCAATGCTCTCTCCCAAAACGCTGGTTGGAGTATACCAGCAACTGACTTTCCACTGGAACATGGTCTTTTGCCCTGAGGTTCGGAGAAATGGTTGGGCTCCGGGACTATAATTTGGGTATCACCGTGTGGCTCAAAGAAAGGAGGGTCTCCCTCACGACAGCATCAAGACTCGTGTATATCTCTGGGAACATGTGAAACGATTGTCAAGGCGAGCCCATGCATGATCATAGGCAGCGCCCCCTTCAGGTGTCACATCCACCTGAAGAAAACAAGAAACACCTAAAGAGAACACCAAAGATCTAATAGCTTCCTGTTACTACTAGCAAGGCACTTGTTACTAGCAGCGATGCACTTGTTTCTACTAGCTTCTTGTTTATATTTCACCAAGTTAGCCATGAGACCAGAGACCACTCCGCTTCGCTCCACCCGATGAGTTTAACCCGCCTGGAACTCCGCCAAGGCCCGTCTCAAAGACTCGGAGACCGGATCGCCCTCTGGATCGCGAAGCTCCGACCCAGTGTCCTTTGGAAATGGGAACATCTTCTCGCTATGGTACATCTTGGTGGAAGGAACCTAGTAGCAATGGCCTCCAACCTAGAAGCAATGGCCTCCAACATAATAAGGAACACATCTCGCGGGAGTGGCGACATCTTCTCTCAGCATTGGGAATAGCACGAAGATATCCTGAAACAAACTTGCACACACAACACACACAAAATAGCAAACATCCGGCAGCATGTGTCTCCAACTTGCGAGACTGAAAGACGACTTGTCTAGCGTCAGTGCCCGTGCAAGAATTCTGACCACAAAAGCAGCAAAAAAATCTTTCTCACCATACCTAAGGGGTACAATTGAGTCTGTCTGGAAAAGTGTGAAACGAATGCCACCCTCATTGAGAAGGACAAGTGGTTGAAACCCTTTCGATGGAAGGAACCTTTTACCAACCTTTGACCAATATTTATTTCAGGTTCGTGCCGCCATCAGCTACTAGTAGTTTCTTGTTCCTAGTAGTAGGGCCAGGAACCCCTAGTAGCCCCCCCTGCTCCTAGTAGCGAAATGGCCAAAGAAACGCGAAACACTTCCCCTCCTGGCGGCTGCGCCGCGCGATGCGCGCCCCCGAGGCAACGCCGCGCAGGGACACGGCGAGGCCGCGTGTCACGCCCAGGGACACGGCGGCGCAGGCGGTGGCGCCGCTCCGAAGTGGCCTGGACTAGTAGCGTCCTTGTTCCTAGTAGCGATGCCCTCTGTTACTAGTAGTTCTTGTTCCGACAACCTTTACATTGAGGTTGGAACGGTTCTTGAGATTTTTGGAAGGTAGGCACCCATATTCCTGAGAAAGCATGTAAGGGTCTAAGCATCACCAAAGAGGTCCAAATAACGATACAGCGATACGACGAACAGGTCGAAGTGACGGCGATCGCTCTCATCTGCAGAATGGTGAACCGCTGCAATGGCTGGCATTCTTGTTGTAGTTAAAACCAGGGCCCAATACGAAGTGAAAAGTATCACGCAGGTACGCTGGGATGATCAGCCCCAGTATCACCAGGAAATCGAGGGTGTCTTTGTTGGTGGCAGACTCGTTCCTGCTGCCACCCCCTGCTGAACACAAGAAAAACTAATTCAAAAGAATCCCTGTGACTCCAAGGGCTTCACACACACATACAATCTAACTAAGCGCTTAGATTTTCACCAGGCGCTGGGAATCCCACTGTCCATATTCCAGCCGAAGCGAGGTTTGGCACCTCGATTGAAGGTCGACCCTCTTTGGGAGTCAGGACTCCAAGCTCTGAGAATTCCTCTTGACTTATGCATTTTGCTAGTGGTAGCTACTAGTAGCTAAGGACGCTACTCGGTGGAGGCCATCCCTATTAGGTTGGAGGCCATTGCTACTAGTAACAAGAATCTACTAGGAACAATTGCTAAGTGGGCGAAACGCGCAGCTTGATTTGAGTTGTATCCTCTCACCACTGTTCCGCTCAGTGCTCCACAAGCGTGGAGCTCGCACCACACGAGAGAACCGCCACAAATCCATGGCCATGAAGCAGCAGTTGCAGCACTTGCAGTTAAGTTTTTTATTGCAGAAACATTCTGCATGATTTGTTTCATGAAGAGTTGCACGTTGCGAAGTTAAAGTCTATGCCAACACCTGATTTTTGTATTTTCGTTACACATTGGTTCCATGCTTTTGGACGAAACCATGAGATGCAGTTATTTTCTTGGCGGGGTCAGTGGGGTGCTCATTGAGCCGCAACACATCAATCGCTGTCAAGGTTTTTGGGTTTCGCGATTTCCCAACCTGAAATGCGCCCAGAATGACAAGTAAACAGTAACACTTGAAACTCAACAATCAGACATGGCTCAAACGTGACGGATGTTCTTCCGCGAGCTGCAGGCAAATTTCATCGAACAAATCACCCTGCCCCATCCCTGCCCATCCCCGAGCTTCCCTTCAAGATCCGCCGGGGAGGGCCACTCACGATCAAACTCTTGAGCTCGGTAGCGGAGACTCGAACTGGGGCGGTGTCCAGACCGACAGCAGAACTAGTGGGGCGGGAGAGGTGCGGTGAAAAACCATCGTTGAATAGGAGAGGTGAACAAACCAACTTCCGCACTCCAGAGCACACATCTGGGAGCACAAACATGAAAGCACAAAGACCCGAGAGCGCACGCTCGAGATATTGCGTACTGAACTGAATGCCACATGCCACACGCCCACCTAGGTATGAAAGCCTGAGAGGGGCAAACAACAACTACTAAGAAGAGCGATGTATATAAGATAAGAAGGGGCATCCAAGCTGCGTATTCCAACACCTATGGACTGTCCGTAATACGTTCACGGTGACAATCAAGCTGCGCACGACGGCGCCCATGAACTGCCACCGTAGCTCCCAGCTATGACCCCAACTTAATGGGTAAGTCATCCAGGGACGCTACATGCAGGTACAGGAAACCAACCAAGTTTCCCTTCCCACTCTTATCCACCGCTTCATTGCGTGTGATAGGATTAAGAGAATGTCCAAAATTACAGTGTGTTTTTCATGAGTTAGCTGACCTGTTGCTAGCCAATGGTTAGCAGTTTGAGACCTCAGCAGCCGATTTGTCATCAGTGGGCAAAGGCCTTGTGGTAGGTCGGAGACGCTCGAAAAGGACCAGCGGCTAAAATATAAGAAACCACGTGGCCAGTACCAAAAGCCCTCCGCGCCCACCTTTGGATCTGCGCGTCAAGGTTGCTGTGCCTGCGACGAAATCTGCACTTCGAGGTTCACCAAGTTCTGTGCCTGCCTTGGAATCTGCAAACAAGCCACATGTCGAAAAGTCACGATTCACTGCACCTGTCACGAAATCAGACCGCCTCGAAGATCACCACCATGTCCAAAGTGCTGGGCATGCCACGAAATCTGACTTTCTAAATAAACCGCTCCGATCCCTTGCGCCTGTCACGAAAAGCCGACTTTGGACCACCAAAAGCGCAAGTTGTAGTCTTTTGGGGAGTTCCTTCCGTCTGAAGAATGCTTGCGGCGCCCTCAGCGCACCACGGGTCCAGCCACTTACCAGGGCCTACCAGGGCGGCCGCAAGCCTGCTGTCAGCTTCAACACCTTTCTTTCGGGGACCATCCTCTGTGACGGAAACCGAATTGCACGGCTTGTAGGGGAACTGGACTTCGGGGCCCACATGTTTTCACATGTTGATAGCAAAGTGCTTGTCATCATCAAATTAAAGTCGAAACTCATAGATTTATTAGGAGCTGCATGTTCAACAAATCAGTCCAGCCCTCCTCTCTTGAACCCCCTTCGAATTGCGGGGGGATCCATGGGGGACCCCCCCCGAGTGACCCACTATGACCCACTTTCCTAACCTTTCTGATCAAAGTTTTGCCAATCAAGCCAAGGCTGCTCACGGTGCCAATTCGGAGTGCAATTGGCACAGTGGACTCTTTGGCCATGTGGCCATCCTTCGTCCATCTACAAGATACAACCGATCAACCTACGCGGCAAGATCAAGGTGCAAAGCTGAACGGCACGGCACGGACCTTCAGGTATGTTAGCTGACCTAAACTGCCACTACAGGTGAACTGTGTGAAAACAGAGCGCACAGCCACCGAACATCAAATAGGCTATACTACGCAAAGGGCAACCGATTGATTCGAACATGCACTGAGCCGCGCATTCACATCTGACAAGTGAAGGCCACCGCTAGGTCGTGAGAGATCATTGCGTCAACAATCACCAGGTCCGAACATGCTGCGTTCGCAGACAACAGCCGCGAATATCTCACCAAGCAGGATGCCAGCCAAAGCCAAGAGAAGGCAGCTGCGGGATGTTTGGCGCTTTCGTACGATACGTCCCCGCCAAATTCTGAAAATAAGCCACATCTCCAAAGCTCGCGATTCAGGGCACCTGGCACGAAACCAGAGCCCGCCAAAGACCACCACCAAGTCCAAAGTGCTGCAGCACATCTGCGCCTCTAGGTTGACAAGCTGCTGCCCCTGCCACGAAAATCTGCACTTTGAGGTGTACAATGTGCTGTGCCCGCCGCGAAGCCTGCGCATAACGATTCACGTTGCCCAGCCCTGGCAGTGCATCTCGCAACCAAAGCACCTCCAAGCAAGTTCGAGATCCAAGACCGGAGCTTTCGCGCCACACGTCCCCCAAATTCTGAATACAAGCTCACCATGAAATCTACACATCGAAGTAAACTGGCTCCGATTTCCTTGTGCCTGCCACGAAAAGTGAGCAGGAAAGCAGAGTCAAAAATGCACTTTCCAAGATCTCCAGAGGCATGACTGTACCGTAAATAGGTGAATTGGCCACGCATGTCAGCACCCTCGATCAAACACCCCACCTCAACGTCACTGGCAAGAACCCCTAGTGTGACCACACTGTTTGGGGACAAAGAGATCAACTGATCAACTGAGCTACTAGTAGTAAGGCCAGGAGCTACTAGTAGCGTCTTTGCTCCTAATAGCGATGCTCTTTGTTACTAGGTTCATCTAGGAATGGGAAGAGTTGTGCAAAGGTCGAAGCCCAGTTTCAGTGGATGGCCATTCGCCCTCTCACGAGTACACTGACTGTTGAATTGAACCAAATCCTGACCCATCCTGACCCGATCGATCATCAAAATCTCACTTGTGACCGCAACACAGAATCAGAACGTGGATGGGAAACGTGGTATTTGATGATATTTGCAGTAACGCAGTGTGTGTGTGTGTGTGTCCCATCCCGATGTGAAGAAAAACACGGTGATGAAACGTGGAAACCAATAGATAACCTTAAGACGGCATATTTGTAGCCCGGCCATCGCCACTAGGAACAAGAAGCTACTAGGGGCTCCTGGCATCGCTACTGGGAGCAAGGACGCTACTAGGGGCTCCTGGCCTTACTACTAGGAACAAGAAGCTACTAGGAGCAAAGGGCGCTACACAAACCTTTCAACCCGCCAATGAGACGATGCCCAGATCCTTTCTGGATCCTCTGATCTTCGCGCCTCCAAGTGTTAGACCATCTAAGCGATCGAGCCTCAGAGAACGGGGGCCATACGGGATGGCCATCCGTTGCTTGTCTTTAGACCGACTTGTTACTAGTAGCTTCTTGTTCCTAGCGATGACCTCCGCCTGTTGTTTCCTTTTGCTCTCATTTTCCTTTGGGACCCTTTGGGACCTTTCCTTTTTTTGCCGGTCAAGAGCCTTTCAGCTCGACCGCCTGGCCGGCTTTCGGGTCTTCCTACTTTGATCGACCGATGGCATCCCGCTCCGCAGGTTCCTGTGATGGCATCTTCTCAAAACAGTTGCGCAAGAAAGTTCAGCCTCGAAAATCCCTTGCCACGCGAATTCAGCGACCCTCAATGACACCTGAAAAGCTCATGGCAGTTCCATCGTCCAGCAATCCTGCGGGGAGCACCGACTGGGTAGCAAGGCCCATCAGTGGCCAGTCCTAATAGCTTCCAACTTCCAACCTAAGAGCGGCCTCCCAGGGTCCCATGGGCCTGTCCAAATGCCACACCCTTCGGCCAGTCCTGCGACGTTCCGTGAACTGCGACAATCTTCGTCCACACCCAGTGCAGGCAGTTGAGTAGTGACCGGGGGACGAGGCTGTTGGAGGTCGGTCCCGGTGTGACCAAGCGATCTATTTCAACCATCCAATGGGACAAATGCCGCAAGCGCATCCCGCGGTCGGCCCGCAGTACTGCATCACCAACTGATGTTCACAAAATGCACGATGAGCCTGCCAAGTCAAAGTGCAAGACGACAAGCAAGTGAAAGCAGGTAATTAGCTTCAAAACGACGAAAAAAGCAAGAAACAACGACAAGAAACAAAGTAATTGGAGAGATCACAACTGCCATCATTGTCTCTTGAAGTATCTCTTGGCACAAACCTTTGCATCCCCAAATCGCCGGCGGCGCCGGCGCCTCAGCGAGTGCATCGCACCTGGCCCCCCACGAGTGCATCGGTATGTGCCTGGCCTCTGTGAGAGCTTCCAAAGAGCGGGGCTCGCCATGCAAAGGTTCGTAATACTCTTGAGCCACGGCCCATGTATGATCTTTGCCTGCCCCATAGATCATCACCTCAGGATTGAAGGGGCGGGTTGGGACGCTGCTGGTGCTACAGTGGACAAGAAGAGGCATCATCATCTCGCGATCTATGCAATGGCCTCCAACCTAAGAGTGATGGCCTCCAACCCTAAGGGTCCAAGACTGGTCTCTGACTAGGTGACCCGGGTTGCCAAACTTTCATGAACCTTCGGTGACTGCCAAACATAGTCGAACTGGACTTCGTTTGGGTGTTCAAGATACTCAAGGTAACCCGAGCAACAATAAAGCACCTTCACTTCCCCACGGAGTCGGGCGAATGAAGTGGCGCATTCATGTCGCACACAAGATCTCCCATGCAGGTTCAGCGGCTCCGGAGAAAAGAACTGAAAAAACACGGCAAGAAGAATGAACTATTAGGTCAGAAGAGGAACCCAATAGTGTTTCGGTTGGAAACTATAGTGACCACATTTTGAGGGTTGGAAACTATTAGGTCGGAGGCCATCGCTCTTGGGTTGGAGGCCATCGCTAGTGGGGTTGAGTCCATCGCTCTTGGGTTAGAGGCAACTGCTAGTAGGTGCCCCTATACCATCCAACTATAGACGCCTCATGGAACGGGCGACCGCTGCTCCCGTCGGCCCGACCGACCCAAAGCCGCCTGGCGCTTCACGTGGCTGGGCGCGTCGGGCGCCACACGGAAGATCTTCCCGTTGATGGCAAAGGTGAGGCCCTCCAAGCCAGCAAGCCTGAAAAAGCTCTCCTAGTAACAAGGGCATCGCTACGAACGGAGCGATCGGACGCTACTAGTAACAAGTGCATCGCTTCTAGTAACAAGTGCCTTACTACTAGTAACAAGAAGCTACTAGGTTGGAGGCCATCGCTTCTAGGCCGTCCAGGATCGAAGCGGGAAGGGAGAACGAATGGGGTTTGACAAAACACGGACTGCCATGTTTGGCCGTTTAGCATCCAGGAGCCCCGTTGGTAGCGTCCTTTCGCTCCTAGTAGTAAGGCCAGGAGCCCGTAGTATATATTCTGGTGCATTTCGTCCCTTCAAAAAGCAGGTTCATAGTTGAAACAAACCTCATGGAGATCTCCATGCGGTCGACTCGTTCTATTGCCTTGTCCTGGTCAAAACACTCAACCAAAAAGGGGTTGCACAAACTTACAGGACGGCCAGGTCAAGTTGAATCATCAGCAACATGTGCTATCCACAAAACAATAAAGCGTGTGGGATACCTTCTCGAGATACCAAGAATTGCCTTGATACCCCCAGTCCATGCGCAAGCCAGGTTTACAGTCCTGCTCAGAAATACCCTTTGAGACCAGTCTCTGCTCCTGCGTCAGCCATTGCGCTGTTTGCTTGTCCGGCGAAGGGAAACGCTGATAGCTGGAACGAGCAGCACAGGGATGTGTTTGAAGCATCTCCTGATCTGGGCGGCTAGACTAGAAGCTACCAGCTATGCCGTAGATCGAGTCGGAAAATGTCAAAGCTACTGTCTATGGATATCTTCCTAAAACGGGAGGTCTTCTTCTTTGCAGTGATTTGGCAGGTGGAGGGTTTGTGTGCAGGATTTCTACCATCCAAACGATGATGCTGGAAGATCTGCCAACCACAACAGCTATCTGTTTTCAGATCTGTTATACAGCTACCTACCAGTGGATCAGTTGTTCCCCTCCCAAGCCTTTGGCAAGTCTCCACCGGTCTTACGCAAAAAATGCACCGAAAGGAAACCCTAAAGCCGAATAAACACATCTTCTACTGGAGTGTAAAGGGCATGATCATTAAACAATTTAAACGCCGTGTACATAAAGGGCAAGCTTCAATCCAATATTTTGGGAGGCCATGCTGTATGGCTCCTTCAATCATCACGGCGAGGTAGCGCTCGGAGGGCAACGAATCCAAGAACGAATCAGTCACGTCAGGCAGCATGACATTGAGGGTACACTTCACACGCTGCCCATTTCCTTTGAACGATGGCCTCCAACCTACTAGCGATCGCCTCCCACCCAATAGCCATGGCCTCTACTAGCGATCGCCTCTAACCCAATAGCCATGGCCTCCAACCTAATAGCAATCGCCTCCAACCCAATAGCCATGGCCTCCAACCTACTAGCGATCGCCTCCAACCCAATAGCCATGGCCTCTACTAGCGATCGCCTCCAACTCAATAGCCATGGCCTCCAACCTACTAGCGATCGCCTCCAACCCGATAGCCATGGCCTCCAACCTAATAGCGATAGCCTTCAACCCGATAGCCATGGCCTCCAACCTAATAGCGATCGCCTCCAACCCAATAGCCATGGCCTCCAACCTGATAGCCATGGCCTCCAACCCAATAGCCATGGCCTCCACCCTACTAGCGATGGCCTCCACCCTACTAGCGATGGCCTCCAACCCAATAGCAATGGCCTCCCACCTCATAGCAATGGCCTCCAACCTACTAGCGATGGCCTCCAACCTACTAGCGATGGCCTCCAACCTAATAGCGATGGCCTTCAACCTAGTACACTTCACACGCTGCCCATTTCCTTGGAGCAAGTCATTCTTCTCACTTGTTACATCTTGTTACCCTCCCTGCAACAATCGTGGAAGTGGACCATCCCCTCTTGGCAGAGGACAATCCTTGAACACTTGTTGGGTGAACATTTACACAAAAAAGAAGGTGACTGGCATCGAACAACCGAAGTCTCTGGTCATTTGAACCTCTGCTTCCACTGCTTCGTAGGAGCTTTCGCTGGACTCGAGCCGTTGCTTCTCTTCTGCAGATACCATGTGAAGGACACCATAGACGGCATCAGCTGCAGAACTGCGCAGCACAGTGGCCATGCCGTGGCTTCCACTGAAGACCAAGCGAAAGCCGACGAGCTTCGCGGCGGCACTCGACCTCGGAAGTCGAGACTGAGGGACCTGGGAGAGAAAGAACGTAAAATCTGTCAACACCCGGATAACATTCTGTTCATGGTGGACAACAGGCAAAAAGCCTCTCATGACTCTCGTGGCATTAATCATCTCATATGCTCTTGTTATGTGAATATGGAAAGAAGTGTACAACTTGTTTGCACTCACTGCTGCAAAAAATCACAGTGAACATCTCTTTGAACCCCCCCTGGGGAAGTGAGACTCCATGTTGAACCAGGCGCACGTCTGAAAGACATCTACTTGATCAAACGTGTTCCAGTTTTTAGAGCCGTTAGAGATGAACTAGTGCCTTTCGAGCTAGACTAGATGCATCTAGCTGCCTAGTAGCTTCTTGTTACTAGTAGTAAGGCCAGGAGCTACTAGAAGCGTCCGATCACTCCGTTCGTAGCGATGCCCTTGGCTACGAACGTAGCGGGATTGCTTTGCTCCATTCTCTCAGTGAACCCGCGCAGCTCGCGTGCCTGGGGTACACCCCGCGCATCCGCAAGGAGATTTGGTTCATCAAGGCGCCGAAGCCAAAGTAAGGCGTCATGAAATCGCAGCGGCCGGTGGAAAGCCGGCGGGGTTTTCAATGGGAGTCCAGGCACTCGCTTTTTGGCTTCGGAGTCCTGTTTCTCGGTTTCAGGTGGGAAATGACGCTCAAAAGAATCCTGATGCTCGTTTTATAGGGATACACATGAGTGTTCAGTTTCGCACTACCTGCAAAGAGTTCTGGCGGAAGAGTCCGTCTTGACCAATTGTAACTATATCAACCACCATTAGCGATGCCTTTGTTACTAGTAGTGATGCCCTTGTTTCTAGTAGCGATGCCCTATGTAACTAACTATATGAGCGACGGTCAAAATTGGTTGTGGAGTTGCAGGTCAGGATTTGGTGAGTGTATCATCGTTTTTCACATCCGTCACATTCTTGCTTTTGGTGAGTGTGTTATCGTTGGGCAAAATAAACATGCATTTTCCATGAAGACTCACTGACTATTCGTCACGTTCACTAATTTTGAGCCTAGCTCATATCAACCTAATTGCACCTGAAGGACACACATCGCCCATGAAAACAAGCTCACTAGGATCAAGCTTACAGCAATCAAATGATGCATACGTCCTCCGTCATTGCCTTATGTACCTAGTACTGCCTCCTCTTCCGATCGAACAATGCCATTGGGGCCACAATCACAAAACGGATTCTCAGCTTCCAGCATTCAACTGCCGCACCAACGTTGCTGCTTTCATGGCCCACGTGACCAATGAATATGGCTTGAAAAAAGTGTCTGAGAAGTCATGCAAAGGCAAGCGCTGTCAAGCGCTGCTTGGTGTCTTGCTGTCAGCTTTGACACGTCTTACGCTTCACATCAATCGTCCTGGCGCTACTTTGGCATGTCAATGCAGTTCCTTGAAACGTGCGCGACACCCAAACCATGACGCCCATGTGCGAATCCAACAAAACGTCCTTTTGGTTTCTCTGTTTGTGGTGCTTTTCCAAATTGCAACGTTTGGCCGAAGGGACCAGTTCAGCATCCTAGTAGCTAGAAGCTACCAGTAACAAGGGCATGGCTACTAGTAGCTCCTGGCATTACTAGTAGCTAGAAGCTACCAGTAACAAGGGCATGGCTACTAGTAGCTCCTGGCATTACTAGTAGCTAGAAGCTACTAGTAACACGGAGTTTAAGCATCAAAAGTGAGTGCATACTAGACCCGTTCGACTGGGGCAAGGGTGACCCGCAGCCCTTCGTTCCACCGTTCCGAGTCGACTCCGCGGCATCGTTCGGCCGGACGGTACCGTCCGGCCATCGCGGCATCGATCGGCGCAGTCCTTCCGAAGGCCGCCCTTGGGAGTCATGAACTTCAGGCGATACCTGGCAGATATCAGTCTGAGGACTGTTACAGTCTGGGGTCTGTTTTCGGTACAGTTTGTATATCTCAAACTGCGCCCGTGTGCATCTTTCCCCCAGAAGTGGCCACGAGAACCATGTCCAAACCAATTGCACCACCTTGTTGCTAGTAGCTTCTTGTTACTAGTGGCAAGGTGCCTTACTGGTAGTAACAAGCTACTAGTAGTAAGGCCAGGAGCTACTAGTAGCGTCCTTGCTCCTAGTAGAAATGCCCTTTGCTACTAGTAGCTTCTTGCTACTAGCAGCGATTGCGCCAAAGAGGCCCAACGTTATTTCGCTTTAGCTTTTTGGTCTCGGCCGGTTCGCAGCAGTCTCCGACAGTTAAGCGAGCGTCACTTGGCCTTTTGGGCTGTCCAAAGTGGCCACCAAGCGAGAGGTGTCTCCATGTTCCACCGTGACATCTTTCACCTTCAAGGCCTCCAAACGCCTTCGGAGCTCAATGGCATTTGGATGAAATGCTTTAAGCTCAACGAGGCGACATCCTTTGGGTGAAATGGCCGATGGATGTGCCAACTGGTTCACTGACCAGTCGACAATGAAAGGAACCAGCCCTCCAAAGGGTAGCTTTTCGTAGCCTAAGCTATGATGATCCGCCGCAAGCCTCCAATTCAACGTTTTGCCTTCTGTATTCTCTCTGGAGAAATCTTTGATGGTGCCAATGTCACAGCCGGATGTTGCAATTTCTTCAAGACTACCACCAGAGGGTTGTACACAAAAGGTCGTCAGACATGGCTTTCTGGGACAGTCAATTCCAAGCCAACTCCCTTCATCTTGTGCGGGATCCCTCGCCAGAATTTCCAGATAAACACCTTCTCCCAAAGAAATGAGAGCATTGTGAGTACCAAGACCAAGGTGCTGCCCTCCAATACAGGCTTTGACACCTGTCATGGCTTCAAAGAGATCGATTCCTTCAGCCACCGAAGGCACACACCAAACCAGGTGATCCACCAGCAAGGAAGGCGACGGCGAGTCCGGCTGGCTCGAGTCCGTCGTCTCCATGGCGCCAACGGTCCGAGTTGGAGCGGCTGCGGCTGGGATTTGGTCCAAAGAGTCGAAGACTGACCTGTCTTCGAGAAACTGATTGTCTGTGGATCCGCACGAAAAGACATGTAGCCTGGTCAGCGTGATGTAGACATGTAGCCTGGTGAGCTGTTTCCTTTGTTGTCTTCACACATAAGTCCTGAGAGAGTTGTTGTGCAGCTGCTTGACAAACGGCCAGGTGGCAGCATAGCTCTAAGCGTCAAGGCGCTTGTATTGCAAGGGCCGCAGTCTAGAAATTCATGATGTTTCTATTTTAACATCTACGTGTGAACCTGTAACGCGTCTAATACTTTTTGACTCATAGTTGTTTTTCTATTCTTTCGAACTTCAACCCATCTCAGTTCAGGACGGTGTGATGCAAATACGGCCAGGTACCTGAACTGGGCGAAGGCCGGCTGCCATGATCAAACAAAAAATTGCAGTGCAGTGGAACCCGCGGGATTGGAACCGACCCACCCGATCCCGAAAAACACGTGCGGGGATAAGACCGTTCGGACCATTCGGACCGTTGCCGAACGATGCCACCGCAATCTCTGAACGAGAATCACTGATGGTTTGAAGATTTTCTTTTTTTGGCATCAACATCTCGCCTCGCAGAAAGGGTTCTGCACCTGCATGGCTCAAGAGAAAACCACTCTTCAGTCGTTTGCATCGCTTGATATCATTGATATCTTTCTCTCGACATGCCACGTGTTTCTGCAAAAATATACATCCAAAACAGAACGGATTTCTCCAGCTCTGCGACACTCCTCTTTACCAAACAATAATGCTGCCTGCAGTGAGCAGGACTTGATGGCCTCCACGACCTTGACGCGCAGGCAGTGCGAAACAAAACCGAGTGAGGTTGGGCTGACTGCATTTGGGCCAGTTGGACTATCAAATTGATTCCTCTTAGTTTTCTTGAAAGCGTTCTGTTAGACCTTTTCCTTCTTTTCCTTTTCTTTTCTCCAGACCTTTTTCCGTACCCTTCCTCTTTCCCTGTTCCTGTTTTGAAACCTTGACAGTAAGCCATTGTTCTTTCCTTTTTCAAGTAGTAATTCAGTACGTTTCTTTATTTTGTATTTTCTTTGTTTATTGAAACCTGTGGACCTTTACTGTTTTTCTTCTTATTTCCCCACTTGACAACAAGCCATGACACTGACAACACATCTTTACAAGCAGAAGCATACAGGACACGGCAACAAAAAACATTTACTTCACTTCGAGTGATCCCCACCATGACATTTCAATCGGACAAAGCTTTCCGCATGTATTGAGAAATATTTCGGCACTCTTTCTGGCATATCTTCTGACATTCTTACTGGCGTATCTTATTCTGGCATTCTTTCTGGCATATCTTTTGGCATTTTTTCTGACACTCTTTCTGGCGTATCTTCTGACATTTCTCTCTGGCGTTCTTTCTGCCTAGCAAAGCTCGATCTTTTCACTCACTCGAGCAGTAGCGGCCTCGTAAGGCGTGTTTGGGTCCATCTCAACATGTCCTATGACATGGAGGTATGTGCACACTTTCTCTCATGTACACAATGTTACACTCCTCCTCTGGAATGTGCGTGTTTGAAGCACACTCCAACATCCACTGTCAGTTCTGTACCATGTCATAGCACTCTTGCATTGATGGCTCTCAGCGCGGTTCGGCTTGCGACTGCTCTTCTTGTGCCTTTTCAACTGCAATGCAGCCATCTGTGCTCTTGCCCTCCTTTCTCTCACAACTTGCATCCAGTCTCTGCTTCCAATAGGCCATCATATCCTCTTGGAGACTCAGGGGTCTTCTCTTCGGGCTCAGGCTCATAGCAAAGCCTTCGAAGAAACAACTTGCCACCATCTCTTCCCCAGTTGGGGTTCTCTATGAAGTACCCTTCGCCAACTTGAGGGTGTCGATCTCAAGATCGAGGAGTCGGTGCATCTGGATCTCACCTGTGTCCGGGTTCAACCAGAACACGATGCCAGGTACGTTCTACTCCACGTAGCTCTTCTCTCAAGCCAGCTTGCCGTTGAACTTCTCGAACTGCGTCCGTGACTTCGTCGCTAGGTTCACGTTCAACACGTCGAACTTGTTCAGGTGAATCATCTTCTGGTTCTTCAGCAGGTTGGTCTGCTGCAGATTCTTCTTCTTCTTCTTCTGAACTCTCTTCACTCAAGCTGCCAAGTCCTCCATGTGGCGTTCTAGACGTCCATCCACGTCCAGGAAGTACTCCTCGCCAGGGAAGTCTTGCGCTCGGCTTCGAAGAACTCTGTAGGTCGCCATTTCTTGAGCAATGGGGTCCCAATTTCAACTGTTGCGATGACATCGTCATCATCATGGGCGCCTACCTGCGCCATCAGCAAAGCAGTAGCGCCGTCGGTGTTCTCGGTGATTCGGTGAGCCGGCAACGAACTGCGTATCAAGGTGACAAGGCCACCGTGGAAATCCGATCGGTTCCTCGAATCCAGTTTGGCTTCGCCTAGACACGCCCAACCTCGGTAGCCCCCGCTCCTGGCCAGGGCTATGAGGTCTTCGGCCTGTCGCTTGGTGAGATTGGTTTCTTGAGAACAAAGCATGTCTGCATCCAACAGATCAGCTTCCTGTATGAAGGAGTAAAGGTTGTTGTAACCTTGTGTATTCAGGCTGCAAAAGCGATGTTGCTCAGAATGTGACGGACCAGGCTGTGGGTGGATATTTTCTTGTGTCAAGTCTCGTACCCAACCCTTGGGTTGGTTTTTGGCTTGTGGGAGCCATTCCTTTTCCTTCTTGCTCAACTGCCAAAGTCGATTGGCGTCCGTTTTGTCTTGTTTGCCTAGTTTGTTGTACCAAGCTCTCCGAGAAGAGCTTTGCAACACTTGCGATCTTCCACTGGAACCGGCACAAGCTTTGGTTTGCTTCATAGCCGTGGCAGTGCACCAAATGATTGTGCAAGTTGTGCATGTGTAAAGGACTCGGTTCGAAGGTTGCCAACGTTTGGGTTGATGACCCAGGTCCTGGCAATGCTTTGCGGCTTGAGACTTCAATCGGTTGTGTTTCAGCCAAGACTTAGCAAGCGTTACTCGGGTTCTTTCCCTCAATAGGAAGACCGCCTAAGGACATGTGATTCAACAAGTTTTTCCTCATGGTAGCGCTTCGTGGCGCGGCCGCGCATGCTTTCAAATGCGCTCTGGCAGAACTAACCCGTTGAGATTCATTCAAAAAGGCAAGCCCGTGTTGGCACCAGGAACAAACCCATGAAGGTTATGTAGGGAGACAATCAAGAGACTGGACCGGAATAATGTCATGAACAGTGCGGATCATGGTGAACCTTTTGCGGGCAGTGCCTTTATGTTGTCTAGCGATACGATGATTTCGCTTGTATCCTAGTTTTCGGGAAGTGGAGGAGTAAATCCTACAATTGCAGAGGTTGCAAGCCCATTGAAAAGGTTCTTTATTTGTCGTTGTGGCGGTCAGGTCTGTGTCTTTACTGCTAAAGCTATCACAACCCTTGGCACTTTGGCTTTTGACGCTGATCTCCTCGGAGGCACCTGGGTATGAGCCACCGGACCCAGGTTTTAGGCGCGGCGCTGAGAGATCTTGGCCAAAGCGAAAATTTTCGCTGCACTGCGAGCCAGCTCTGTGGTGAAAAACTGTGTGACCGCCAATGCTGGAGGAAGAGGCAGCTGAAGTCTTATCAGGGCTTTAATTGGCTCTTGGCTTTGCGAGAACCTGAGAAAACGTCAAAGGAACGTTTGGTTCCGGTGGTGGACGCATGCGATCGACTTTTTCCCGCCCCTCGCTGACCTCTAGGAACTCCAAAAACGGCTTGATCCAGAAGGCTTTGCGAGGGTGAGGTAATGGTCGGCAGTATACCAAAGCAGCGCCACGCCTGCTCTCTTGGTTGAATACCACGACATTCATGCTGACAGTGTCCCAAATATATGGGGCGATCCATCGTGGTAGCCAGGCCTTGAAGCTCTAACATGCCTGCCCAAGCTCCTTCCTTTGCTACCAGTTTCTAATATGCGTCAAAGTTGCGAGGTTTGATCTCCTTATCTTCTCTTTCTGGTCGCACCCCATCCCAAAAAGAGTTATACAGGCTCTTATGTTTCCCCATGTGAGTGCAAACCAAAAGTCTCAACTCTTTGGCCGACGTTTTCTTGCCGATGGCAGCTAACGAATCAGAGACCGCATGGAACAGGCAAGCTCCCTGCCCAACATTGTCTTCCCGGCGGAAGCTGCATGGTTCCGTCCGCCTTGTGCCTTTTCTGAGGTCCGGTGTCAGCCCTACCACTGGTTTTACCGTCAGCAAAACGTTGAGGTGAGTTCGTCTTGTCTTTGGATTCATCAGATTTGTCGGGTGAGCTCAAATTACGAGGGGATTTGGGCTCGTGAACGATGTGCTTACCTCCGACGGTGGGTTGCGTCGTGAGATATTGCCGTTTCTCAGGCGGATGTGCGATGCTCGGAGGTCGAGATATTTGTTTGTCCTGTCTCCACAGCTGGATCTCAATACCTTCTGCTTGGATCGTAAGGTGATCAGTGGCGGCGTCGAACAGACCGCGAAACAACCAAGCGGCGCTCGAGAACTTGGATGTCTACAAAACTTGCATACGAAATGACACTGTGTAATTGGTCTTCAGTCCAATTCCGAGGCACTCCAAGGGCCTTCCAATGTCTGATGTGTTTGGATGGAGCAGCGATCTCTTCTTCTGTTAATACACGGCGAACACCAAGATATTTAGGGCCTCGAACAACTCCAAATTGCGTCGACAGCTGGCGAACACGGGCAGCATACTCAAGCCATGCTTCCGTCGGATGATATGCCTGCCAACCCACACCTGTAGGTTTATAGGTAGCAATGTTCGGCTGGCGATGGGCGCATTCAGTGAAGACACGGATGTTCTCGAACATGGAACCGGAAGCTTTCAGAAGATCGTTCAGAAATTTAACTTCGATTCGAGCCAGTCCTTGGATCCGTGTCTGTTTACCTGCGGGACCCGTGGCCAATTCCCAGGCCCAAGTGTCTCGAAGCTTGCATCCAGCTTGCGAACACCATTGACGAACGAGTTTGCCAGGATTGGCACGAAGTCTGTTCCAGTCCTTTGTGTATGGTTGCTCAACGTGAAAACGTACCACTAAGGTCTCTGCGTCTGGCTGAACCTTACCCCCCGGACTATTCAATAGGACCTTTCAGCGATGGGCATCCATCCTTCATGCTGTATCGATGAAGCAATCTGGAAACCAAACGTCCCTGAATGATCACCGGTAAGCGGGCATCCTGCCAATCAAAAAGATCAGCTGAGTCTTCAAAAAGAAGGTTCTTTTCCTTGAGAACAGTAAGCTTCATGTCTGGGTGCACCTGTATTGCTGTGGCCAATCCTTCGAGGTCTG